CCTCTTGCCATGGAGAGACCCGTCCCGTCCCGTCCCTCCCCTACAGCGGGCAGCCCGGGCGCTGCGGCCCCAGCGGACGCAATCAACAGCTCCTACCCAGAAACTCTCCACGAAGGACGCCATGACCGCGGCGCCGCCGCCTCAGCGCTGGGTGAACCTGGCCCCGACGGAAGAACCCGTCGCCGCCCGCCACAGAGCGCCGCCCTTCCCGCTGCTGCGCCGCAGCCACCCAGCCGCCTGGCCTCGCTCACCAACGGCTTTGGCGCGCACGCGCCAGCCAGCCAGCTGCCCGCCCCTCAGTACGCAGGCGTGTCCTCACGCCTCGGCCCTACGCCGCCGTCCAGGATGTGCGCAGGCGCAGAGCTGCTCGGATTCGTTTTCAGAAAAGAAGAGTTCAGTGAGAAGTTCTGCCCGTCAAGCAGCAGGATCTCCCCCCACTAGAACAATGGAGAAATGTAATAGACTGCAAAGTAATGCGCATTGGAAAAAGCTCCCAACTATACATCCAATAGGATAGGGACTAGTTTAGCTACAGCTACTCCAGAGAGATTTTGGAGTCTTGGACAGTTCTCTGAAAACATCCACTCAGGGAGCAGTAGCAGTTAAAAAAGCAAACAGGATGGCAGGAATCATTTAAAAAAAAGGGAGAGAGAATAAGACAGAAAATATCTTTTTTACCTCTATATAAAACCAGCGCTTACATCTTGAATACTGTGTACAGACAGGGCGGCCCGTGAGCATAGGCTGACTCAGCCATCGCCTAGGGCGCCCGCTTCAACGAGGTGCCCGGGCCACCCAATGATAACGTTACGCTGACGTCACTCCGTTGAGGGCCATGCAGGCGGGGCCACCTCGAGCCGTCCCTGTGTACATATGCAGTCACCTCATCTCGAAAAAGATGTATTGACATTGGAAAAGGTTCAGAAAAGGGCAACAAAAATGATAAGGGGTTTGGAAAGGGTCCCATATGAAGAAAAATTAAAGAGACAGACTTTTCATCTTAGACAAGAGCAGACAAAGGGGTGCGGATATGACAGAGGTCTATAAAATCATAACTGATGTTGAAAACTTAAAGAAGGAAAAATTAGTTACTTGTTTCCAGAATATAAGAAATAAGGGTCACCAAATGAAATTAAGAGGTAGCAGGTTTACAACAAACAAAAGAAAGTTTTTCTTCATGCAGCACAGTGTAACTCCTTGGTACAGTGGTACTCATTGGCTGATGAGGCTGTGAAGACCAGGCTATAATCAGGGTTCAAAAAAGAACTAGATAAATTCACAGAGGTTATGTCTATCAATGGCTGTTAGGCAGGATAGGTAGTAATGGTGTCCCTAGCGTCTGTTTGTCAGATGCTGAAAATGGAGGACAGGAGAGAAATCACATGATGATTACCTATTTTGTTCACTCCAAGGCATCTGGCATTGGCCACTGTTGGAAGACAGGATACTAGGCTAGATGAACCTTTGGTCTGACTCAGAATGGCCATTCTTACGAGGGTAAGGCTGTAATTTCAGGGGTGATGGGTCCTGTCTTCTCCATAGTGCCTACTAATTGCCAATCCACGGTTGAGGTTGTCTGATCAATGAGATCCACTGCCAACCCACATTCCTGGAGTGCTTAAAGGTAAGGCTAGATGAACAGTGCTGCTCCATCCAACCATAGCAGTGACACCACCTTAAAAAAACCCCACATAAATCCTGACCAGTTTTAAAAAGTATGCACATGCTAGTAGCATCCACTCAACATACATCATAGAAACAGGAGCTTCGGGGGTAGCCCAGTTAGTCTGTTACAGGAAAAAAAACAACAAGTGGTCCGGTAGCACTTTATAGCCTAACAAAACAGGTAGATGGTATCATGAGCTTTCGTGGGCACAGCCCAGTTCTTCAGAAGTCATCTGAAGGAAGAAGTGGGCTGTGCCTACAAAAGCTCATGATACTATCTACATGTTTCGTTAGTCTATAAAGTGCTACCAGACCATTTGTTGTTATAGAAACGTGTGTTGGATGTAAGAGCTAGCCAAAAGTTAGCTCCAGGGGACCATCAGTCCAGGGACAAACTCCACTGTGCTTATGGTGCAGGTCCAAGATGAAAACAGACTTATCACCCAGTCATGATAACTATAGGTCAAAAGTTTGAGACCCGGTAGTAAATTCCTGGAAACTATCCAAGTTCTCAGAAAGGGGCGAGAATAACAGCAGTAGCTACATCATAAACTGAAGAAATTATTTAAACTCAGTTCTCTTTTTCCAACTAATCATCACTTTCCACAGAAGCCAGGTGTCAAGAAGAGGTGAGCAGTGTCTCAAATTACATGAATTAAACTACTATGCCAAAAGGTAGAAAAGCAACAGCTATGATGCCAGGCAGTGTGCCTGAAGCACTTCCCAATAATAGGTTGACCTCTAGATATTCCAGTGATGGAATCCAGTCAAGCTCCACTAAGAACATGACAATCCCCGTCCAGTGAATGCTGTCATGGGGACAACCCAAGAGGGAGCTACAGGATAATTAAGCTAAAATACAATTAGTATGGAAGTTTCTACTGCCAGTGCTCTGCTGTATTTTCGGTGTACAAATAGAGGACATTCTATTTAGGTTCTTATACTACCCTCATCACCATTGTATTTGAATATGGAAAGGTGATTCACCTTGTGCAGGAACTGGAGATGAGTATCCTTATGAGTGCTCCATTCTTGATCCTGGTGCTGTCCTAAGTGCCTTTGGTCAGAAAGTTTCCTAGAAGCTGGCACCAGTGCTGCATGTTCTGGAATCAGTTGAAATAGTGCATGCACAGTCCAGACTCTCCTGTTCCTTCTCTGCATCAGAGGCTGATGTCACCAAAGCAGAAGGGCGAAAGGTGGGTAGTGGAGCACCCACAGGGATACTCATCTAAAAACTCATTATTGTACAAGGTAAATAACCTTCCCCTCTTTGAGAAATGCCCCTGTGGGCGCTCCATTCTTGGTGATTAGAAAACAGTATCCTTTAGAATGGTATGGGCTTTGGAGTCTGTCGAAAGGCTCCAGTGAATAATACTGCTCAGCCCACTTGTGTGTCAGTTCTTGGGCCATGCACGAGAGCATAATGTTTGGTGAAAGTGTGTTGCAAAGCCCTTACAGTGAGCTTTGCAAATTTCTGATAGGGGAACGTTGTGCAGATATGCCACTGAGGTGGAAATAGAGGTTATTGAATGTGCTCTCACTGTGGTAGGGTGCTTAGAGACTTTGAATTCATAACATAGTAGATGCAATCTGTAATCCTTTTGGAAAGTCTTTGTGATCTGCTATAGATATGAAGAGTGATGTGATCTGCTATAGAAATGAAGAGTGATGTGATCTTTTTGAAGGTTTTGGTTCTATAACAGGCCAATGCCCATCCCATGTTGAGTGCATACAGGGAATTTCAAATAAATTAGCATGTGGTTTAGGGAAAAATTACTGAGACATGTAGGGTCCATTGATATGGAATGAGGAGTACCTTGGTTAAGAATTTGAGTGGATGTGGAGAATAACTTTGTCCTTTAAAAAAAAAAGTGGGGGGGGGGGGGGGGGTTGTACAACAGGCAGGGGTGAGGGCAATGAGAAATGCTAAATTCATGGAAAAGTGTAGTAAAGAGCAAGAGTCAAGCGTTTCAAAAAGTTTTGTCAGGAATGTATGAAGAATGAGGTTTAGGTCCCACGGTATCACAGGAGGTCTCACATCATGATGGAGGATTTGGAGATCCTTGAGAAAGCACGTTGTAGGGGATGGGCAAAGAGGGGGATGTTTTCTACCCCGGACGGAATGCTGTGATACTTGTTAAATGGGAGCTAAGGGAAAGACCCAACTGCTTGAATATAAGGAGAGAGCCCAGAAGGAGTGGTGCTTTCAGTGGATCTACAAGCTTTGATGTGCACCAGACTAAATCACATCCATTTATGGAAGCAGGGAAGGGGATGGAAGGTTTTCTGCTATGGAGAACACGTTGTACCTGTTCTGAACAGTTTAGTTTTGCATGTGAGGGCAATGGAGGAGCCAGGATGGAACTGGAACTTTGGGAGATCCAGGTAATGTTGTTGGCCTGGTCCTTGAATTAGGAGGTTCTGTTGAAGGGGAATAGAGATTGGGGTGCAAACCAACATCTGCATTAGGAAGGGACTATTTAGATGACTCTGGCCCTGTCCATCTTGATCTCCTGTACTATCCTGGAGCCGAGAAATATCAGGAAAGTGTAGTGGAGCTGGTCCATCCAGTTGATGAGGAACACGTTCCCCTGTGATCATTCTCCAGTACTTTCTCTGGAGCAGAAGAGGTGCACTCGCACTTGCAAAGTCACTAACCTATGGTTGATTGTCCCCACATGTGGAATACGCAGAGTAGGACTATTGTGCTGAACTCCCACTCATGATGTTGGGGAAAACATCTGCTCATTGCATCCTTCATGGTGTTGTTGGAACCTGGCATGTGAGCAGCTGAGTTATGACTATCATGGCAGATACAGAAGTTCCAGAGTTATGCCTTCAGTACATAATGAATGGGACCAAGGTTCCCTGTAAGCTGCACAATCACACAGCTATTTTCT